TTCACGTCTTGATTCACCTTCTGTTTTTGACTAAAACCCTCTAATTGCCTGTTTATTGTTTCTAGTGCATTTGCTTCCGATATAACATCTTCAAGGGTCATTTTATCTCCATTTTTTAAGATTTTCTTCCTTAGTTCTTCTGAACTGCATCTGTCAGTAATCTGATCCAGGAGCTGGTCGTTTTCGTCAACGAATTGGCATTTAGCCGCTTGTTGCCGCAACCGGACAACAAATTTTTCGAACTTCTCGTTTTCTTCTTGCTTCATTAATCTAAACACATGTCTTTCAAATCTTTTACTCTGTTTGGGTGCAAAATATTCATCTAATTTCTTAATTGCCTTTCCAAAAACATCTATTGCAGCTTCTGAGGTATTCGTTGCGTCTTCGTCAGGAATGTTATAATATATTTCTTGTAATTCTGGCCCGCCCCAATGTAAAAGACTTGCTCGCTTCTGACTTGGTGTAGTAACCTTTGCAGCTTCTAGGTATATGTACAAGCTTCTCTTCCATCGTTCCCATCTTGTGCACACCGATGTCACCTCACCCTCGCACTCAAACTTTTCTAAGGTTAGGTTTGCCATTTTTTACCTGTAAATAATGAAATAGGTTACATAACGGCGCCATCCGTTCCAAAACTTCAGAAAACACCATTATGGATAACTTCCATCATGCCTCATAATAATACTTCTGGCCATGAACGGCGTCATCCGCTCTGACCCACAACCTCCATCATAATACTTCTAGTCATGAACGGCATCATCCGCTCTGACCAACTCAACATCCTTGTACCTTATTTATTTATATACTATCCTCACAGGTACCACATGACTAATACTTAGAGTAACCTTTAAATTATAACCCCCTCGGAAACTTAATTTTTTTTTTTTATTTTTTTTTTATTTATTTATTTATTTATTTATTTTTTTATTTATTCATTTATTTATTTTTTATTATTTGAATTAAGAACAAGGATAGTAGTATAAGGATGTATCTTTGAATACTTCTAGTCATGAACCGGCATCATCCGTTCTGACTAACCTTCTAACCTTTACTAAAGCTTCCATCATTGCTGGTTATATCACTTCTAGTCAATTGCAATATCATCTATGCATCTAGTCATGAACCGGCATCATCCGTTCTGACTAACCTTCTAACCTTTACTAAAGCTTCCTTCATTGCTGGTTATATCACTTCTAGTCAATTGCAATATCATCTATGCATCTAGTCATGAACCGGCATCATCCGTTCTGACTAACCTTCTGACCTTTACTAAAGCTTCCATCATTGCTGGTTATATCACTTCTAGTCAATTGCAATATCATCTATGCATCTAGTCATGAACCGGCATCATCCGTTCTGACTAACCTTCTGACCTTTACTAAAGCTTCCTTCATTGCTGATTATATTACTTCTAGTTAATTGCAATATCATTTATGCATCTAGTCATGAACGGGCATCATCCGTTCTGACTAATTTCTTATGTACGTAATGTACCCGTAATCAATGAAATAATTTATCCTATTAATCAATATCTCTAAATATGTATTTATGTAAATATAATACAGCATCAACCGTTTTGTTTTGCAATAAACAATGTCCATTTCGAGTTTTAAGCAATAGCAATAATTTTTTATGGCACCAATTACGACAAAAACCTTTTCCAAACATAAATATCCACAAAAGACACAACCGTTTTGTTTTGCAATAAACAATGTCCATTTCGAGTTTTAAGCAATAGCAATAATTTTTTATGGCACCAATTACGACAAAAACCTTTTTTAAACATAAATATCTACAAAAGACACAACTCAATAATATAAAGCTGTTAAATTGTTATCTATACCCGAAATCAACCGTTACTTCTCGGGACTCGAACCCGATAGGCTAGCAGGGTAGGAATCGTAGAAATATAATTCAAATAATAATTACTAATTGTTATTATACTCCGACTTCATATAAATTTAATCGGAACTCGAATCCAATAGAATAGTGGACAGGTAGAATAATTACGGATTTATAATATCTCAATTGATAATGCACGTTCATTATTAGTATACATTCGTTATACACAACTACCATTGTGTTGGTGTTTTCTTACTAAATGTACATTTATTAAACTATGTAAGCGTGAACAGAAGAATCACAAGTCCTTATTACGTCACAGTTATTTAAATAAGATTAAATAACCGAAATTTCCTTTGAAAGGGGTAAAGTACAGTCTATTCAATACGACACCAACTCAATCGCAACACTAGATATAACTATCACTTCGATGCACAGCAATTTGTTTTTAATAAAAATACAGTACTCACAATATTCGTCGCCAAAATGTACTGTTTGTTCTTATCTTCGGTATCGGCTCACTCGTCATACACGCCGCACGCGCGTCCGTCTTATCCCGCAGTTCCGTACCGACTGCTCGAGGGAGGGAAGGACGCCATACTTCCCATACTTCAGCGTGCGGCGTATACGCGTGAGACGACAGTGTCTTCATATATAGGAATCTACATACACTACATCGCGCTTCTCAAAAAGTGATATATGAAGCTCATCACGCTTTTTTTCACATAAATACCATTTATTGTTTGTTAATTTATTTTTAAATTAATATTATTGTGAAAAAAGTGTGGGGTGCTTCTTAAGAACTGATATATATATATACATATAACGGATATAAAATATTGTCATGTATACATAATGCACACTGTATAACTTAATTAAATATTGCTTACCTAAAAAATCAGGTTTCTATTGTTATAAATTACTTTCGATAGATGGCGCTAGCGGTATAATTGAATCGCGATATTGTTTTGTCTGCAGTATATATGAATGAAAGTCGATAAGGAATCGATGGTCATTTCTTTCTATTTCTTTCTACACTTATGTCTTGATATCTTATATATGGTTACGATTACGATTAAATGGATCACTGATTTGACTTGCTAAAGGATTAATTTTGATATTGCTTATTGATTGATTACTTGTGTGTGTTAAAAGCACAAATTCACTCTATTTCTTTTCTACTATTCACTTACCAACGATGGAAATTGTACATCTTTCGGTGGTTGGCGGAGATATACCACATAGGGTAATTCCTATGCCATCAGATGGTAGCTGTATGTTTCATGCTGTAAGTTATGCATTGTACGGCTGTATAGTACGATTGTATGTACGATTTCTTGAAAAAAAGTATTGAAATCTCACCAAAAACATGCCTGTTAAAAAGGGGGCCAAGTTCCAATCGGCTAATTGTTTGCCTAAAAAAGGGGTGAAATCCAATCTAATGCCAAGTTTAGATGCACTTTGAAATCGATCATAATCATCTTCATCAACAGCATGATCCACTGGTAAACATTTGGCATTCCCAAGACTCGCCACCACACCCAGTCCTCTGCCTTCCACATCCAGCCACTACCCGCCACCTTATTCACGTCAACGGTCCATCTGGCCGAAATTCACTTTTTACCATACACCTAACTTAAAATATGGTATAGTTGTGAAAATACGTAGGTGCTTGGTTAAAAATATATAAAATTATAATACTTCTAAATTTGAACTTGGCAGGTTAATTTAATTATTTAAATTATATAATATTTAAATTATATAAATATAAATAATTATATAACTAAATAATAAATTAATGATACAATTAATTAAGTGTTACGTACAGCACAAAAACCTGCCAAGTTCAAATTGAGAAGTATTATAATTTTAGATATTTTTAACCAAGCACCTACGTATTTTCACAACTATACCATATTTTAAGTTGGGTGTATGGTAAAGTGAATTTCGGCCAGATGGACCGTTGACGTGAATAAGGTGGCGGGTAGTGGCTGGATGTGGAAGGCAGAGGACTGGGTGTGGTGGCGAGTCTTGGGAATGCCAAATGTTTACCAGTGGATCATGCTGTTGATGAAGATGATTATGATCGATTTCAAAGTGCATCTAAACTTGGCATTAGATTGGATTTCACCCCTTTTTTAGGCAAACAATTAGCCGATTGGAACTTGGCCCCCTTTTTAACAGGCATGTTTTTGGTGAGTTTCACTTTCTAGTACTGTAGCTGAAAATGTGTCAAAATCAGAAGCCTGCAAAGAAGCAGTGTATTTGAGAAACTTACAAAATGAAGTGACTTGTAGAATGTATACTATTATTTTTTACTCGTATAATGACAGTATGAGTGCTCAGAAATTATAACTGAACCCAGTATTCCATAATAAAACTAAACATATGGATGTCAGGTATCACTATTGCTGAGATATTATAAATAAAAACATTGTTAGTATTAATTATTTGTGTATATCTGATATGCCTGCAGATTTATTTACCAAAAGCTTAAGTGTTGTAAAACATTATAAACATGTAAATGCTTTAGGAATTGTTAGAGTGTAATATATTTTAACTTTAAGTTCATGTTAAGTATTTATATAGTTTAAAATAGATCATATTTTAATGGGAAGTATTGTGGATATCAAAATATGGATACAACTAGCCATCTTGTGGCAATCATGTCTATAAGCGTTATTGTATTTGTCTATGTTCAATAAATCATTCTTCTGTCGATCTTCAGTTGACACACGTTGTTTTATTAAATATTAATTATCGTAATCTAATTCCTATTAAACAGTTTATTTATTCATAATGGTGCTGAGGGAGCAGGATGTCTTTGTCTCTACTAACGTTTACATTAGGATCGGGTCTTGTCATATTTTCACAATAAAACTGTTAAGGTTATATTCTTACTTTCTGTTGCCCTCACACACTCATAAAAATATTTCCATCTGACTCAAACGAATATTGTAGCACACATAATTTGAACAAATGTGTAAAGTTGATATTTTTTATGATTTTTATGAAAATCTTGAAACGTTCCTTCCGCCGTATATCTTTTCAAACATGTAATAAGGGGAGAGGCACAGAACTATGAACAAGACATTCACTCTTAAAATAATCTAAAAAAAAACGAAGACATTTCTCTTTTTTTTTGACAGATGGGGTTGATGGGGATGATGGGGATGATAGGGGTGATGGGGATGAAGGGAGGGATGGAGATGATGGAGGTGATGGGGATGATGGAGATGATGGGGGTGATGGGGATTAAGAGAATGATGGAGATGATGGAGATGATGGGGATGATGGGGGTGATGGGGATGAAGGGGCTGATGGAGATGATGGGGATGATGGGGGTGATGGGGATAATGTGGATGATGGGGATGTAGGGATGATGGGGGTGATGGGTGTGATTAGGATGATGGAGATGATGGAGATGATGAGGATGATGGGGTTGATGGGGATGATGGGGATGATGGGGGTGATGGGGATGAAGGGAGTGATGGAGATGATGGAGGTGATGGGGATGACGTGGATGAAGGGGGTGATGGGGATGAAGGGGCTGATGGAGATGATGGAGATGATGGGGGTGATGGGGATGATGGAGATGATGGGGGTGATGGGGTGTATGGGATGATGGTGATGATGGGGTTGATGGGGATGATGAGGGTGATGGGGATGATGGAGATGATGGAGATGATGGGGATGATTGGGGTGATATGGATGTTGGGGGTGATGGGGATAAAGGGGATGATTGGGTTGATGGGGATAAAGGGGGTTATGGGGGTGATGTGGATGATGGGGATGATGGGGATGATGGAGATAATGGAGATGATGGGGGTGATGGGGATGAAGGGGATGATGGGGATGATGGAGATGATGGGGGTGATGGGGATGAAGAGGGTAATGGAGATGATGGAGATGATGGGGATGATTGGGGTGATGGGGGTGAAGGGGGTGATGGAGATGATGGAGATTATGGGGGTGATGGGGATTATGGGGATGATGGAGTTGATGGAGATGATGGAGATGATAGGGATGATGGGGATGATGGGGGTGATGGGATGAAGGGGGTGAAGGGGGTGATGGAGATGATGGGGTGATGGGGATGAAGGGGGTGAAGGAGATGATGGGTGTGATGGGGATGATTGGGATGATGGGGGTGTAGGGAAGATGGGGGTGATGTGGATGATGGGGATGATGGAGGAGATGTGGATGATTGGGGTGATGGGGATGATTGGGTTGATGATGAGGGGAATGATGTGTCTGATGAGGATGATGGGTGTGATGGGGATGATGGAGATGATGGAGATGATGGGGTGATGGGGATGATGGGGGTGATGTGGATGATGGAGATGATGGAGATGATAGGGATGATGAGGATGATGGGGGTGATGGGGATGAAGGGGGTGAAGGAGATGATGGGTGTGATGGAGATGATTGGGATGATGGGGGTGTAGGGAAGATGGGGTGATGTGGATGATGGGGATGATGGAGGAGATGTGGATGATTGGGGTGATGGGGATGATTGGGTTGATGATGAGGGGAATGATGTGTCTGATGAGGATGATGGGTGTGATGGGGATGATGGAGTTGATGGAGATGATGGGGTGATGGGGATGATGGGGGTGATGTGGATGATGGAGATGATGGAGATGATGGAGATGATTGGGATGATGTGGATGATGGGGATGATGGGGATGATGGAGATAATGGAGATGATGGGGGTGATGGGGATGAAGGGGATGATGGGGATGATGGAGATAATGGAGATGATAGGGGTGATGGGGATGAAGGGGCTGATGGAGATGATGGAGATGATGGGGGTGATGGGAATAAAGAGGGTAATGGAGATGATGGAGATGATGGGGATGATGGAGTGATGGGGATGATGGGGGTGATGTGGATGATGGAGATGATGGGGATGATTGGGGTGATGGGGGTGAAGGGGGTGATGGAGATGATTGAGATGATGGGGGTGATGGGGATTATGGGGACGATGGGGATGATGGAGATGATGGAGATGATAGGGATAATGGGGGTGATGTCGGTGATGGGGACGTTGGGGGTGATAGGGATAAAGGGGATGATGGGGATGATGGATATGATGGCGGTGATGGGGATGATAGGGATGATGGGGTTGATGGGGATAAAGAGGGTAATGGGGGTGATGTGGATGATGGGGATGATGGAGATGATGGAGATGATGGGGGTGATGGGGATGAAGGGGCTCATGGAGATGATGGGGATTATGGAGATGATGGAGATGATGGGGATGAAGGGGGTAATGGGGGTGATGGAGATGATGGGGATGACGGGGGTGATGGGGATGATGGGGATGATGGAGGAGATGTGGATGATTGGGGTGATGGGGATGATGGGGTTGATGATGAGGGGAATGATGTGTCTGATGAGGATGATGGGTGTGATGAGGATGATGGAGATGATGGGGTGATGGGGATGATGGGGGTGATGGGGATGATGGAGATGATGGAGATGGTGACGGTGATGGCATTTTTGGATGGCACATTTGGCATATAAAAAAATGGTATATAGGGAAAATTGATTTATAAGGAAAATTGGTATATAAGAACATTTGGTATACCTCCGTCATTTTAGTTTACTTTGAAGGTTTATTAGGTTTTTTTTTTTTCAACAAATAAAAATGAAAAAACAACAATTAATTCCTTAATTAAAATATATTCTAATTCTTAATACATTTCACAAATTATAAGAAATTAAAGTTATAACTCCTACATTATATTAAGAGCAATGATTTAAAATTACATAAAATTTTTACAATTTAATGATTTTTACCGTTCTTCTAGTACACGAATTGCTCAAAATGCTGTACCAACTCTATACTTAAGTATCTAAAGTAAGCAACTTCCCAAGTAGTTATAGGCACACAATACATACTACTTATATAAAAAAAATATAAATAATCAATTATATTTTATATACATAGATAATATTTTACATTATTATTGTTTTACTTTAGAAATTGGTGCTCATAATTACAAATTAAAAAAAAAAAATGAAAAAATTGAATATAATGAAATAGGTATACAAGTCATCTTAACATTTTTATATACTTACATGGTAAATAGATTTGATCGATTTATAATGAGCGGTCTTTATTAACTTTTTTATCTAAATAAAGAAAAGTGCCTACAAACAGTATCGCAATATAACTACTTGTGTCACTTCTTGACATAGGTAAAACAAACACAAAGTGTTCTAAATATGCAAAAATTATAATTTCACTGGATAACTACAAACCAAAAAAAAATCGTTTATAGTTTTATATGTAATATAAGAATGACATTGTTTAAATCAGTAAAAATTACTTTTCTGCCGGAAGTCACTATTAAGTATTAATAACCCGAAAAAAACTGATAAGGGATGATAGGGGTGATGGGGATGAAGAGGGTGATGGGGGATGAAGGGGGTGATGGAGATGATGGAAATGATTAGTGTGATGGGGATGATGGAGATGATGGGGATGATGTGGATGATGTGGATGATGGAGATGATGAAGATGATGGGGGTGATGGCGATGATGGAGATGATGGGGGTGATGAAGATTGAGAGGGTGATGGAGATAATGGAGATCATGGGGATGATGGCTATGATGGGGATGATGGGGGTGATGGGGATGAAGGGGGTGATGGAGATGATGGAGGTGATGGGGATGACGTGGCTGAAGGGGGTGATGGGGATTATGGAGATGATGGGGATGAAGGGGGTGAGGGGATGATGGGGGTGATAAGGATGTTCGGGTTGATTGGGATAAAGCGTGTGATGGGGATGATGTGGATGATGTGGATGATGGAGATGATAAAGATGATGGGGATGATGGGTGTGATGGAGATGATGGGGATGAGGGGGGTGATGTGGATGATGGAGACGATGGGGATGATGTGGATGATGTGGATGATGGAGATGATGAAGATGATGGGGGTGATGGCGATGATGGAGATGATGGGGGTGATGAGGATTGAGAGGGTGATGGAGATAATGGAGATCATGGGGATGATGGATATGATGGGGATGATGGGGGTGATAGGGATGAAGGGGGTGATGGAGATGATGGAGGTGATGGGGATGACGTGGATGAAGGGGGTGATGGGGATGATGGAGATGATGGAAATGAAGGGGGTGATAGGGCTGATGGGGATGTGGAGATGATGGTGATGAAGGGGGTGATGGGGATGATGGTTGTAATGGGGATTATGGAAATGATGGAGATGATGGATTTGATGGGGATGATGATGATGATGGAGATGATGGAGATGATAGGGGTGATGGGGATGAAGAGGGTGATGGAGATGATGGAGATGATGGGGATGATTGGGGTGATGGGGGTGAAGGGGGTGATGGAGATGATGGAGATGATAGGGATTATGGGGATGATGGGGGTGATGGGGATGAAGGGGGTGAAGGAGATGATGGGTGTGATGGGGATGATGGAGATGATGAAGATGATGGAGATGATAGGGATGATGGGGATGATGGAGGAGATGTGGATGATTGGGGTGATGGGGATGATGATGATGGGGATGAGGAGAATGATGTGGATGATGAGGATGATGGGTGTGATGGGGATGATGGAGATGATGGAGATGATGGGGTGATGGGGATGATGGGGGTGATCTGAATGATGGGGAAGATGGGGGTGATGTGGATGATGGAGATGATGGGGATGATGGATATGATGGAGATGATGGGGATGAATGGGGAGATGGGGATAATGTGGATGATGGAGATGATGGGGATGATGGAGATGATGTAGATAACTGGAAAGATGGGGGTGTAGGGAGGAGGGGGGTGATGTGGTTGATGGGGATGATGGGGGAGATGAGGATGTGATGGAGATGATGGAAATGATTGGTGTGATGGGGATGATGGAGATGATGGAGATGATGGGGATGAGGGGGGTGATGTGGATGATGGAGACGATGTGGATGATGTGG